TTAACAACGTTCTACTAGAACGTGGAGAAAAAATGAGCTACTTTAATGGGCAAAACTGTGCCATGAGATACATAATTTGGACATTATCATAACCATCTATCAAAACTACATGTGCCTCATTTAGTTATCCAAGAGGTCTTGCTACAAATAGACATGAAATTAATTAAGTACGACATATCTCTCAGGATAGTATGTGTTGTCGCACTATCTGCCAGACATTTATCCCCACATGTCATGTCTATAGAGTTATATAAACCTGATCATATATATTCAGTACTTCAGGTACTAAATAAATTCATCAAGCAACACCACTGAATAACATATAATTAACTTAGAGAATAAATATCTGGTCTAGAGCATAAACTAGACATAATCAAAATATGAATATGGTTATAACATGAGCATATGAAGTAAGATGATTGAAATTCAATAAACTAATAAACTAGAGACATAAAATGAACATAATGCATATTTCAGGAAATCAAAGCTCAATCATATCCCAATATGGGTCATTTGGTCAGATGTGCCCAAGTGTGGAAGTTGAGTGATGGGCTATATATAGAAAACATTTACCTCTGTCAACTCAGTCTACGCTGGTGCATTATTATTTGCATACCCAACCCCAATGTTCCTCACACTTCAGGTGCGCGACCATTTCTAAGATCCACCATGTATAAAACATATATCTATGTTCTGATTTTGAGCTCTATTCGGATTTTCAAATTCATATACAAATCATTTATGAATTCACTTGTTCCTTGCTTCCGGCAAGTGTATTGTCTTTTGGTAATCAAAACGACTAGTTAGGGTATCCCATTCTTTATGGGGACCCTCGTTTGATGAATAGTCCATACGAAGGACTTCATCTAATTATCTCCTAATCAGAAACATAGTCTCAGTCTTCTGGGCTTACCTAATAAATTATTCTCGAAAACAATCATTCTCACTTGCTCACTAAGCATATGGATCTTAACATCCATTCTCCAACCAACAAAACTTTCACCAAATACATTAAGTTGGGTAAACTCGAGTTTGGTCATGTGTTTCATCTCAAATCAAATAGAATAATGAGTATTATTGTTTTATGGGAATGTAACCTCCATAAACAATTTCATGAATATTTTGCACATATTAGAACTTCCGGTCTAATAATTCATACACCACATGTTCATACACATTCATGGATTTCATACGATAAACCATAACGACAAACGAAATATTTATTACCATTTTCATATCACAAAATTACATATGGTAGATGGATCAATTGAATAGAATTCTCCATTAGAGATTGACCAAAATCTTCATACAATTAAGACTTTGTAAATTGTCAAATATATAATATATAACATGCTAAATAATATAAATAATATATAACATGTACAATCTCATATAAATTCCACGAACTAATTCTGAAATTATTCCGGTAGGTAATCATGAATTAACTAAATAGATCCATAATGCTATCAAGTATCAGCAATGCATTAGATCATCTTAAAATGAAATAACCAAGTTATTGTAGCAAAGTTTTCTAACAATTCATGCAATACAAATTCAACCAAGAAAGAAAATTCTATTAATATGGCTACAATCACGTTCGGTAAGAAACATAAACAATTTCACATTCATCGTCAAACATATTCACCCCTCATTCTACAGTGCATATTTATTCACAAGCTTCTTAGTGCACTGTATTCTAAATATTATGATAAGACATTCATAATACAATTTCATATCAAATCCTCGAAATATGGAATAAGCCAACAAGATATTATAATTCTTTGACAATATACAATCACACATTTATCGTTGCTAATGATAAAATAATTTGCTACTCCACATACCAAAAAAACAATCATTGTGATATTTATACCATACTATAACATATTAAGCATGCTTCCAATAATTACGAATCACATCATATTTTGAAATTATCCACGTTATAAATGAAATAATGACTTGAAGATAAATATGTATTTCATGCATTTCATGCCATTAAATAGATCTAGTGCATCTCTTACGAAATCGAAATTGCAAGGGATTACGGCTTACTTGAAACGCTTAAACCCAAATGTTGAAGAATATATTGTATTCTTTGAACAAGATTACCATTTCACGAACGAACTCGAATCACAAGTTCTTCAAGCATCCACGTGCCAAAAATGGTTCATTTTTCACGAGCACCTGAATCACAAATTCTTCAAGTATCCTAGTCCCACGAACGATTGTCTTTCCATGATCACGATGAGCATTCCGTGCTGATAACGTGTTGTAAAATGGCCTATTTGTGTAGCTATTTGGTTTGTGATTGTGGAAATACATAAGAACATAATAACAATAATAGAGAGAGAATGAGAGAACACAAGTAAACAAGATTCGTAGAGAGATAATTGTGGTGGTGTTTAGGGGAGGGGAGATTCTCATTTATATAGGTGTAATCCACCGGAAATTACAAGGAGGATACATGGGAGTTATACCCTACATACATCATGGAGGAAGTTATGGCATAATGGGTAAGTTGAGAATCTCTAGTGGTGTAGTGGGGAGTTATAAATCCCGAGTGAGTTAAGATAGGAATAACCACATTCTATATTATTTACAACAAATAGGTTTATATTGCGAATTTTTAATTAAAATAACACACACACACACACACACACACATATATATGGGGCAATATGCCAAACACCCTTCATTGGGATTTTAATTCTTGATAAATTCTTTCTATATAAATGATATTTGAGATGAATTCAATGGGCCTGAAAAACCATATATGCCCCCACTAACTATTAACTAGTATAATTATTTAATTTTAAAAAAATTATACCCATAATCTACACCTAAATCTTCTCCAAAAATTATTCTCCTCATCACGCCAATTCAGTTTTTTTTCCTTTTCTTTTTTATTTTGTTTAATGGTTTTCTTTATTTCGATTTAAAAAAAATTGTAATTATTTTTTTTATTTTCGGTTTTTTATTTTCATTTATTTTTTTTCTTATTTATATTTTTCATGTTTTCTATTATCATTTAAAAAAATGGTTTTATTTTTATTTTCGTTTTTTCATGGTTTCTTTTTTCTTAATTTTAATTTTTTTTTAAATGGTTTTTTTTTTCTTTCCAGATTTTTTAAATAAAAACCACTCTATATAAACATTAAAACCACTCTGTATAAACAGTTATATAAACATGAAAATCACTATGTATAACAACTATATAACATGAAAACCATACATGTCCAAAGTTGTGATATTTTGATGGATATTTGTATGTATTTTGATGAATATTTGTATGTTGTTTGATGGATTACTAGTTTATATTTTATTTAGAGTGTTTTTTTTTTTTAACTTTTTTTTCATTTAGTATGCATTACCTTTTCTTAACGACAAAAAAAATCATTTTTTTTAAAACGGAGCAGTGGAAATTCGATAGTTAGCTGTCGAATTTAAACTGTCTCGTTTAAAAAATAATGAATTTTTTTATTGTTTTTATTCACCAAAAATCAGTTGGAATATGTATTTTGAGGTATATTATATTAACTTTTTTGTCGTTTAAACCTTTAAAAAAAATTCCAAAACATTCGTATTTTTTCAAACAAAACAATTTAAATTCAACAGCTAGCTGTCGAAAATTTGAAAAATCTGACAGGTAGCTCTCGAATTTAAACTATTTTGTTTTTAAAATAAAATGATTTTTTGTAAAAAAAAAATGAAACTCACCAAAAATTAATTGGAATAAGTATTTTGAGATATATTGTGCTAACGTGTGTGTCTTTTACCCTTTAAAAAAACAAAAACAAAATTAATTGAAACAGTCTATTATCATTAAAAAAATAAAATTTAAATAAGTTTGTTCGCATTGCTATCACCATCATCCCCAATAGTAATAAGCTCTATACTATCTCGCATTGCTAAATTTTGAGCGACTAATGTTTGAAATGTATCAATCCAAGCATTAATGTTTGTAGTCTTCCAATCGTCGGGCCTGAGGATCACAGCAGTGGTACCAAAAGAAATTTAGCTCGTGTGTTTGTAGGCGAACTTGGTGAAAAGTTGTTTAGGTGGTGGTGTGGTTAGCACCTCTATTGGAAACGTGGTTCAAGGGTTTTCCCACTTTTACAGCAAATGATCGCTTCTTTTCGCATAAGCGCCTCAAGCTATATTAGATGCATGGGTTGCTTATATGTGGGGAATTGATTTTAGAATCAGACTCAAAGCTGGTATTAGACATGATACTTAACAAGGCTACCGTGGGCTTCTTAAAGACTCTTGGGGTGGTCAACATGTTTAAAGAGAGGCAAATGGTGTATTAGCCGATGAATTAGCTAAGCTGGCTCATATGATCATAAGGGAAAGAAACGGTATTCAGCAGGTGACTTTCCTCGTCAAATTCGACCCTCCATTTTATTAGATCGCGTTGGAGTGCAGCGCTTCCGCAAAGCTTCGAAGCTCAACTGAGGATGGTTTTTATGATTACCTACAGCCTCATTCAACTGTGTAGTGGTGGATGTTTGGTTATTTGCATTAGTAACCCCTTTTAGGATTATCTTATTTCACCCCATTTGGGTCAAATTGTAATTAGAAAAGTTAGGGGAATCCTTGACTTTTTATTACCAGACGTGTTATTTAAAAAAAAAAATAATCCATAATCGTAATCTACGTAACGAAACAATCATCAAAATGTAGAAATTACCCCCGATTTGTCGTCATCTCATTCGAGATCTGAGAAATAACTCCAAAAACTTGAGAGAATTTGGGAGAGTTTCCACCTTTCGATTTTGGAAGAATGGTAAAAGAAAATGCCTGCAAGTTTGAAAAGTATGTGCACAAATCATTTCAGTATTTTTATTTAGGTAGCATTAAAATGAACAAAATCGATATTATTGGACTAATTTTCTAGTAGAAAGAAATCTCACTTTAGTAAAACTGAAAAATCGTACGGAAGGGTCAAATACTTAGTGATAGTGTGATATACATTTCTGTACCCCATTTTCGCGCGAACGATGATCTTCCCTTCACATCTTCTTCGCACACTCAAATCTCGCCAATCTCTGTTGGCAAGAGTGAATTTCTCTCTCCACTTCCATCACTACGCCTCATCAAAATCAAACGACGACGACGACGACCGCCGCAGCTGCCCGGATCTCCTCAGCCACAAAGACTGGCTGAGTCAACCCCAAGTTATCAGGATTTTTCAAAACCTCAAAAACCCCAATTTCACTCTCTCTCTCTTCGAACAGCTCACTGCCCGCAAAGATTACAGGCCCAATGAATCCCTTTACTCCACTCTCATCAACAAGCTCGCGCTCGCCAAGAACTTCGACGGGATCGAGACCCTCATGCACAGAATCAAGCTCGAGCGGAAATGCCGCCTCTCCGATCTCTTCTTCCGGGATGTGATCAAGATTTACGGCCACTCCGCCGGCAGAATCAACAGGGCGATCGAAACCCTCTTCGACATGCCCAACTACAAGTGCTGGCCCACCACAGCCACCTTCAACTGCGTCCTCAATTTGTTGGTTTCGACGAAGCAGTTCGAGGTCGTGCACGAGGTCTACATGGGGGCTACCGAACTGGGTGTCGAAATCGACGCTTGCTGTTTGAACATAATCATCAAAGGCCTGTGCGAGTGCGGCCAGATAGAAGCCGCCTACAAGGTGCTCGACGAATTTCCCGTTCAGAAATGCACCCCCAACGCGAGGACTTTTTCGACAATAATGCACGGGCTATGCGAGCGTGGCCGTGTGGAAGAGTCGTTTAGTCTGCTGGAGAGGATCGAAACTGAAGGAGTGGAGATGGATGCGATTGTGTTCAACATATTGATATCGGGATTGAGGAAGCAAGGGAGGGGAGAAGAAGGTGTTGACCTTTTCGATAAGATGATGATCAAAGGGTGCAGTCCAAATCCAGGGACATACCAAGAAGTGTTGTATTGCTTGCTTGATTTGAAGAGGTTTTGTGAGGCGAAGAGTTTTGTGGGGAGGATGATTGATAAGGGGATTAATCCGAGTTTCGAGTCTTATAAGTTGATTATAGAGGGCTTTTGCGGTGAGGGTGTTGTAGGAGATGTGGAGTGGGCGTTGAGGCTAATGGTTGGGCACGGGTTTGTGCCGAAGATGGGAATGTGGAAGCGAATTGTTAATTGTGTACTCTCCGATAAAATGGTATAGTTTCTGGTTGTGGTGGTGTTTCTTACGATGGAATGATCGGAAACTGAAGTGTCCGTTTGGTGTTATATGGTCTACAAGTTTCATTTGCAAGCGCAGTTGATCTTCGAAATGCAGAGTTGTGGAATTCCGGAATTCGCTAATCACGATTGATAGAGAAGTGGGGCAATTGGGATAAGAGGCGCCCCCGGCACTACCAGTTCAGAAAACGTGGTGATTCTTGTTGAGAGAAGCATTTCCGAAAAGATTTCAAATTTCTCGTTCGTAGAAACTTTTCAGGCGAATTAAGGCTTGAAAGGGTGAATTATATTTTTTGTGATGCAATTGAGCAGTTTTGCAGTTGATAAATTTTGACCCGAGAATTTCTCTGGTATACTAATGATTAAACAAACGTATCAAGAAACGAATTCATCCCATTAAAAAAACCATAATAAAAAATACAGTACTATACTTATTTCACAAATTTGAACATTCATAATATTTACGGTTTCCTTTACAACAGCATTTCAAAGATATAAGAACAAACAACAAACAAACAAACAAAGATTATACAAGATCCTGCTCACACCACACTGTACCAAAATCATGAAAGAACTATTTACCCAACACACAGGTATATATATATCTTTAAGAAACGAGCATTAAACCAGCCTACGATAAACTCTCACATCATTCGAACGGGACATTTGGTTGATTATTATTTCCATCCTACTCCTTACAAAGTCAAAGGAGTATGAAAATTACTGCCCCTTGGAGTCCCGACCGAACTGTCGGACTTGAAAGAACTATTACCAGATACAGCATCGCCCCGCATAGCATCATCTCTACCCTTGAAAGAACTATTACCAGATACAGCATCAACCCGCACAGCATCATCTATACCCTTGAAAGAACTATTACCAGATCCCTTTGCTACATTAGAAACAGCCGAACCAGAAATAACCAAACCACCATGTCCAAGCGAAGTATCAATGGACGACGAACGAGACTCGTCCTCGTCAGAAGAAGATTCCTGATCTGTCGGCAAAGATCCGATTTCAGATTTTGACTTCCTCAATGCTCTCCGAGAGAGTGTATGCTTGAAGTCACGTGCCGATTTCAAAATGCCCTTAGCCACATCCTTCACATGCCCTTGTCGAGGGCTCCCCACGCCAGTTTCCTCCAGCAAATCTTTCTCGTTATTACCGTTTGGTGCCTTTGTAGTAGATGTAGAGATCATAGTTTCGTCTATTATCAACTTCACCCCAACTTTCTTGGCGTTCAAAGACCGGATATTATCTTTCGGATATGATTCGGGCCCCACAAGAAAGTTGACTTTTTCTTCGGTTTTTGAACTCCTCCGGAAAACCGAACCGATCTTTCGCAACCCTCTACGAACTGGATTTGTCGACTGCGATGATATGTTAGGATCCGTGCCTTCATCTGTGCTGCTGCCTTCATTAGCCTCGGACCGAACTTGCCTGTTGAGTTGATGGCTATCTTGGTGTCTGAGTTTGCCCTTTCTTGGCTCCCACACTTGTGCAACCTCACTGCCTGGGTGGTGAATCCATATCCCCGTCTCTGGTTTCCCTTCAATGTCGATTGGCTCGAATTTATCTGCGACTCTTGGGGATTTATCAAATGATTTGGAGGAGAAGGAGCCCTTCTTAGAAGAATCGTCTGTGAAGGAGATTCTTTTACTGAAGGAGCCTTTTTTAGAAGAATCTTCTGTGAATGAGTTTCTCTTATTGTCACTTTCGAGAACTTCTGCATCGTCTGAGGGTTCTGCTTCCTGTTTTAGCAATTGGAAATATCATGACATCGATTATTTCAGCAACAGTAAGTTGCATGTAACGTACTAGAATTTGTCAATGATTGTCTTCAAACTGAGACATGAGTATCGAATTCAAAACTTACCTTCAGAGTTCATCGACAAAGATCTTAAATCCATGATGCATTTAATCATAAGACTTAGATATATGATGCATTTCATAGTCAACATGCTAACTTATTATATCATAGATCATTACAAAATTCAATCAACATGCTAACTTATATTATCATATCTCATTAGAAAATTCAACAACATGCTAACTTATTATATAATATATCATTAGAAAACTCAACCAAGATTTAACTATATGATGATGCATTCCATCCATAGTCAACATGCTAACTTATTAAATCATATATCATTAGAAAAGTCAACCAGTGAGAACTATAGTAATCATTAATTGCAGGTTATGGCATCTGCGGTCAAGATCAACTGCATCCAAGTTTCTCGTCCCAACTGGTTGGTATATGTAATTATGTATGAGGAGTTAATCCCATTATTTACTAGCCAATTCTAGGATTAGACGAGTCTGAAACAAATGTTTCAAGTGAGCGAACCGGGACACTCACAGTTGATTTTGCAACTCCTTTTCCATTTTCCGCATCCGCAAAATAGTCTCAATATCACTTTCAGAAATATGCCCTTGGCATGCTTCCTGTTACACTCCAATTTCTTTACATTACAAAGCAAAAAATTAGGATCCTTGATTGAGTTATAACCGAGAAACATTAGCAGATCAATAATTAACTAATTATCTTTTGAAGAACAGAGCTTCATTTACCAAAATAATTTTCTCTCGGTGATAAATCCAAAAGTTTCCTCTTTTGAGTGTTTTCATCAGATATGCTATAATATACTTGTTCGAAAACTAATTACGATTGTTGCTCGAAAACTGTAGTCTAAACACAACATCAATTGGAAACACTCAATGTAGTCTGATAATATATTGCCGTAGTCCTATTATAGGGCAGCACCAGGCACCAGCAACCAACTCTTCCTTTTGACCCTTTTGTTTTGCTTTAACCACCAAGTCAACCGCACCCCCCCCCCCCCCCCCCACCCCGGGAAAGCTCATGTCTCGCGGTTACATATTGAAACAATTTCACTATATTACATCCTAAAATCAAACAACATGTACATGCAAGCAACTACATGTATGCTAGGAGGAAAACAAGTTCGAGCTACATTTCTAGTTTCGTAATTATTTAGACAGTTTCATCTCCCAGTATTCCTGACATAAAAGTTGGAAAAATCAAGAGAAAGAAAGTCAGATCTCAATATACTGCACCTAGCCCATTTATATACATAAAGGTATCATTCCAGACTCTTAAAACGCCGCTATATATGACTTCCACTCCCAATTCAAGAAGTAAAAACTTGCACAAGTTGAGATAAAACAATGTCAGATCTCAAAGGAAGTAGAAGTGCAACCAGCCATTTACGTTTGTAAGGGTACCTTTTCAGTTTCTTCAGACACAGTAACCGCAAGATGCAATCTTCCCATTTTAATGTTCTGGAGAGACAACCACATGTCATGCCTCTGGCCACCCCTAAATTCATTGATGTTTACCGAACAATCTCTGCACATTTTGCACAACTAGTTTAGAAATATGAAAGCAAGAGAAAGTCATATTAAAGCATCCATGCCTATGTTGCTATCAACTAATTAGAATTATAACGATATCCAAAACATAATAACTATCATAATCAACAAATGAATTTCCTATGGGATAAAGAAACACACTGGCAACTAGCATAAGCTTCTAAAAAGGGATTTAGCTTAAGTGCATTCTCTAAGTACAACCAACTTGATAACCACATGAAGAAAGATAATACAAGACCCGAAAGAAATACAGGGAATAAATGAAAGATCGACTAGAAAGAAAGGAAATAGCTCTTTACAGAAAACCAAAAAAACAAAAATGTAAGGAAACAAATCATCTAAAACTAGTCATGCATAATCTAGTTTTAAGAGAGCATACCCCATCATGTCATCGTATAGATGGTCCTTATCACGAACTTCAATGCGAAGCAAGTTTTGTGATTCCCATGAGCAAATAGGGATCTTGAATTCCTCAGACCATTTTGGAGCCAAAGTTTTCTTCTGAGTCTTAGTCCGGAATCTGTAAGGCCCTAATTGTCCCTTCACATATGGGTCAGCCAATCCTGATATATATATATATAATAATAAAAAGTATGGGAAAAAAAAAAACACCTTCAGTTCAATCAGGCATATCTTGTGCACATTAATAAGTAATATAAGCATACTGAAACTAACCATTCATATCTGACGGGTTCATGTCAGCAGCGTCAAGAACTTCCACAACAGCGTACGCTATAGGGTCTTTTGCATCAACAGAAAACCATTTTTCTGACATGTAAGAAGTACGACTAAGTCAGCAAAATTATTGATTAAAAAAGTGCTTGAAACATTTTTGTTACATTTAATGAAAACGGTTGCTGGTGGACTAGTCCACATGTTTAAATTATATGTAATAGGGTAAGACAACATTAAGGAGAAGCTCATCCATGACCACTAATAATTTTATTATTTCAATCAAATTTGTAATATAGCGAAATTCTACAAAGATATTCACAATTTCACAATCAAAATTCCTCAAATTCACAACAGTTTCTCAAAATTCACAACATGTTTTGTGGACTTAACCATTTACTTTCTTTTGGAAATAAATTATGTTTAAACAAAGATAATTAAAGGTTCTCTTAGTCTACCAAGCATATCTTGCTTCCCTCTTCCCATATATGATAGATTAGCTCCCTATATTTTTCAATAATATGAAACAATGAACTCCAATCTTGTGCATATTATAAGCACACACCATCATGATGACTTTTACACTGAAGCTGTGTTTCTTTTGACACCACCTATAGATCCTAAACTGTGTACAAAATTGTCCTTTAATCAAACTTCAGTATCAGTCAAAGTCAATCTGAAGGCCACTAAAACACATACCAAGTTTTAATTTATACAAGAAGTGTATATACATTTAAGACAGCCTCAAACTCCATGCAAAAAGTTGACTTAACTACTATACTCTGAGAGGCCCAAGTTGACTCAATAATTCCAAACGTCAATAATTTATGTATATAAATTATACCAATATCTCGAAAGTAAATAACAAAGTGACCAACACGAAAAAGCTACAATTACAGTGGTATAATATCTGAAATATTGTTTACTAAGATTCTACGATTGTAAACTGTTATCTGAGATCAAGAGGCATAAATAGTTAAGTTGAAAACTGTTATCTGAGATCAAGATGTTATACTAAATTTGAATAACAATTGAAGTTATTCACGAATTATGGTTATACTGGTAATCTTGGTTCTGCTACAAGTGTTTTATCATGCTGCCATTAGTATTATTATTATCAGTAATAGTTTTCCAGCTTAAAGATCTGAATATTATAACATTTTTTGCCTTCACATTTAACAATGGAAGTTTGTTATATAATTTGTATCTGCAATTTTATTGCATAACGAGTTGAACATTAAGTTAAATGAATAAAGCCAACTAAGAGTTATGCATTTTGACCGAGAGAAAAGGTTTAACATCCGAATAAGAAAGTATAAAGGCCGGGGTACTAAATGATAATTGTTCCATCACAACAACTTTACCCTCCGGAGATTCCAAAATTCGAAAAGACTTCAAAAAAATTGGAATATGTCAGAATCATATGAACTTTAGGTCTGACATTTGCTATTCCTCCTCTCCCCCCAGATTCTGAGTCCCCGATATATCCTAATTTATGGGCTCAAATCACCAATTATTGGGTTGCATGTCAATAAATGAAAGACATAAATATGGGATAGCCAATCGTTCAAGCTCATTCTATAAGTAATAGTATGCATGAGTAACATCAAGAGTCAGAATACCTGGTTTGGGGGAAGCGAATTTTTCAACATCAACCACTAGCATATTGGGCTGCAGATTTATGATAACTAGTTAGTAAAGCACTTGCTTTCTGGCATCCTTGACACATAGTGAAGAGATGCAAAAATAAATATTCATGCGGAACAATAACAAGTAATTGTAATTTTCATACTCTCAACTGCGAAAACCATTAATAAAAAAAATAAAAAAATGAAGTTATCTCACCTCGACTAGAGTTTGTTCAAAGACGAGGGCCAGAAGATTATCCTAATAGAAAAAAATAAGTCAGAAAATGTATGGAAAAAGGATGAGTTTGGGAAAAACACTATCTGTGTGTGTGTGTGTGTGAGAGAGAGGGAGAGAGAGAGATGGAATGATCTCGTCATGGTAAGCATGTACTTACTATCCAACCAGCAATCCCAGGAAGTTCGGTTACATCAAGGCCGTGAGTGAATATAGGTTTCACAGTCATCTGAAAATACGGTGGCTCAACAAAGCATACACGTAAACGACTAATAAATGGCCATCCACGAAGGAATTTTACCCCAACCAACACCTGCAAGAAAGTTTTTGCATAACTTGCTAATGTGCATTGAATATGTTACTTTACAGTAACAGTGGCTTGCAATTTCCGCATATAAGTGAAAGGGTACAAATTGCAATTGTCTTACAGAGTTGGTACATAAAATTTTGTAAATTGACCAAAAATTCTTTCGAAAGGTCGAATGATCCTAAATTTATGAAATAGAGTAACACACCATACAAGTAAACCAACAAAAAGGATTTTCCATCCAACTGGAATATATTAAATACTTATCGATAAACAAACAGGGATATTCTTACCTTCCCTTCAATATGCATGCCCAACAAATGCAATTTTGTCGTCATTCCAAAACCCAGTCTTCTCCGCAGTTTCACTTGGAGTATCGCACTCATATCCTCTGCTGTACGGAAATTCAATCCCGCCTCAATAACCTGAAGTATATTAGCACTGATATCACATCACTAGAAAACACGAACAAATAGAGGAAAATCCTATCTGTTTGCAGAAAGAAACGCCACCCCCGCTTACCAAGTGATCATCACCATTGGCGTTTTGAAGAACCCTCATTTCGGTTAATATAGGAGGGGATCTGCCCAAGTAAAGATGCTGAAGCTCAATATCTTTCTGCATATCGGCAAACAGGGAACACCTTTAATATAACGCATAAAAGAAATAGGAGAAACAAACTCCATGCCACTCTAAACGAACATATCAAGAAATCAAACAACCACCAACTAAAAGCAGGGTAGGTTTCAACACATACCGCTGTCCATGGTTTATACTTTTTCAAGAACCACGGAACAATAGGGAGAAGCATTTTCTGGGAGACAATCTCTTCCATACAGATAGGCCACATCTTCTCAACGGCATGGTTCAACCATCTGACGGTTTCAGAATCCACAAGCACCTACGAAAACATAACCGAACAAATTTAAACGCATTCCGTTCACAAGGATTTTTAAGATTCTACGGTGTGTTAGTGTGAGGACTGGGGAGGAGAGAAATCAAGAGAGAGAAAGTTATTCCAAGGCATATGGCATGTATCATAAAAGTAATACATCCACAACAAAAATGTTGAAAACTTCAAATTCGCATAACACCTTTCCCAGTCCATCTTCTACTATATGATCGATCCTAAAACCCCAAAACCGTCTACGTCTTCGTCATTTGCGATGGTCGAAAAAAGGGGGTTCGTTACGGTACAGTACTAGACCACATTAAAATATCTCCTAACTGAAGAAACCAGATTGACATGATATATAAAAGTGAAAAAGCAAATATAAAGTTCTTAAAAGCCAAAGTGTAATATACCCGTTTTTGATTGGATTCTCTTTTTTCCTCAAACTGCAGTTTCTTCGTCAATTTAACAACATACCCTTCGTGGACCTTCAAACTCATAACAAAATTCAATTCATCAGTCCGAAATCACAGCATTAAATATTTGTCCAATTATTAAAAAGGAAAAATGAAAAAAAACACACAGGGATCTCGGGAGAAGAAAAAAAAAAAAGGAAGTTACCAGATAGAGATATATGAGGGAGAGAAAATAAGCAACGGGATGGCCATAGTTGAACGAATTGAGAAACCATAGCACAAGCAGCACAATGCACACATGATGCAGTATCGTCGCGTCGATTATACTACCCATCTCTCACCAACCAACCAAAACAATTATTTAAAAAAAAAATAAAAAAAAAAAACCGACTGAATTTATTATTTGCAAAATCAAATACTTATATATATAATAATATACTTCACACAGAAAATCGTTCCGGTGGAACTCCGATTCATATAGGCCGCCGCCAATTAACTGCATCCATCGCGACAAAAGACGAAGATAATCTGATGATTAATAAGTGAGAGAAAGATACGCGCCTAATATTGGAGGAGATAGAGTGGACTTTAATTTTTCCGGCGCGGTGAACGTACGGCGGCGTGAAACGAGTGAGAAAACCGTTCGGTTTTTTTTTTTTTAATTGTTGCAGAGATTTATGAGAGAGAGAGAGGGGGGGAAGTGGACTTTCTTTTTTCCTTTGTTCTGTTTTCGTTCAATATTTTTATCTGCATTTTTAATTTTTTATACATCAGTAAATACGTAAATAAATTATTATTATTATTATTAAATGAAAATATACGTAAATAATAAAATAATGGGTAAATTACAACCACCCCAAAGTAATAGTCAAATTACGAAAACCCCCCTCTTGTTTGGATAATTACAAACACCCCCCTCAACTCCTCAAATTTAGTAGAATCTTCGAGATTGTATGGAATATTATCACTTTTGTACCCATTTTATCCCATTCGAACTCTACATTTTGAAGCAAGATGATCATAATATGTGTTTTTTGGCTTGTAGATATCAGATTGTGGTGCATCAGAAACTGTATTTTTACACAAAACGAGTACAAACTAGAGCACATTCCACGAAATCTAAATGATTATGTTGAATTTGACACCATTAGGGTGGAGGTGTAAGAAAAAATCATAGTTGAGGGGTAGATGTAATTATCCAAACAATAGGGATTATTTTGTAAATTAACCATACCTCAGGGGGCTGTTTGTAATTTACCCTAAAATAATTTAAAATTACTCACTGTAATTTCAGTTCTTCATGCGTAAGTAAGTCGAGGGAGGGGGAAAACGGGACGTTGACTGACGTTGAGCCACGTGTCGCCGTCATGTTACGGACGTGGCCTACAACGCGACATTAGAGCGGATAATGCAGCCTTGAATGTAGAATTCATCCGCTGTGTAGAAACTGACTGTTTGTGCTTTACGCATAGAAAGTTGTACTCTGGCCGTTATTTTTTGACTTTGGATTTTGTATTTTAACCAACTTGGGAAAATGGAGAGCCCGTTAGTCTATATTTTCTAGTTTCGAATATTCTTTTTTATTTTTTACTCTTCTAGATGATTTTATTTTATTTAAGTCTATATTTTTGGACTAGAGCAATTAAGAGAAATATTATCTCTTGAAAAGTAATATGCTCAAAATCTTTTCTTCTTATTTTATACTTCTTTTTTGTCTCGATTTTCATTTTTTTTACTACCGAGGCACGGACACAGTAAAATGGGGAAATCGTGTAAATATAAAAAATAAAAGTGTACATCATAATTTCTAAAAAATATTATAATATTTAACTTATATACTCATCGTCAGTTATATATTTGTATAAACAAGTTATACATAATTTACAAGTTCCAATCTGAATTATAATTCCATAAATCACGCGGAGCATATAAATTTATTTTAGTGTTGAATTAGTTTCTAAAGAAATATTAAAATACCGCTAGAGGTGGAAAAAAAATATATACGATTTAAGATTTTTTTCAAGCACATGCAATTTCGAGTTTTTATTTAAAAACGGATTTTGGCCAGAAACGTCTGTAGACGCATAAAATTAATTAATTGGTTAATTAAATTAGCCAATTAAATTGTGTCTAAATTAAATTATAATTTATCTTACAAAATAAATTATGGAGATAATTATCAATTAATTATTGGCCAATATGATTATTTCTTCTCTTCCAAGTTATAAGAGATAAATATCAATTTAAAGAGAGCGAATCAAATCGCGCCACGTCATCAAGTAGACTTTAAGTAGGACTCTTATTCTACCACTATAAATAGGGACCCTCTCTACACAATTCAAAAGACAACTCAAGAAGAATAAAAATCGTAGGAGAAAATTCTCTCTACAACATTCAAGTCATCTTCATCAAATTCAAGGCGTTCTTCATCAAATCGAGGGCGTTCTTCAACAAATCAAGATCGAAGGAAGATTGAAGGGTCAAATCCATCAAGAACTCCAAGATCTTCAAGTCAAAGCTCGTCAAAGTTCAACGTTCGATCCGAGATTCAAGTCGCAAGACCCTCGGAAAACGTTATTCAAATCCAAAATCAAATCCGGAGAAGATCAAGTCAACGACCCGACTCCAAAATTCAAAGTCAACATATATTGTTCTTGAGAGAAGAATCAGAGGATTAAATTAGAGTTTGTAACCCGCAATATTTTATTTTAATTCAATAAATTATTTTTGTGCAAATTTTTCTTGTTTGTCTAAATCGCAGATAAGAATTTGTTGTTACAAATTTTGGCACGCCCAGTGGGACATCTCTACCTCTCATCTCTTCTCTCTCTCGAAGATCCTCGAAGTGTTGCAGTGACTGCTCTACGTTCACAATGAAGATTGCTTATTCGGATTCATCAAGTTTGGGCTTAGGTACAAGGAGTATGGCTAAGAAGCTGCAAGCATCCTCCGAGACTAACTCGACGGCTCAAACCATTCAGAAAGGCTTACCACCTCTTGTCAACACAAGCGCAGACGTGGAAGGTTCAAAACGAGAGATTTCACAGCCCACGCCTCGTTCAACATCAAGCTACTCAGAGGCGGCATCCGTCATGACAACAAACGCTACAACCATGGAGGAGCAAATTGCAAGTTTGACAAAGGCCATTGAGGGACTCGCAAAGCATGTTCAACAACGAGATTCTCAAATTGCCAAGTTGATAGAGAAGATGAACAAAGCCGATGCTAGTCAAGTTGTGGATCAGATAGAGGCTCAAGACGAAGTCGAGACATCCACAAAGCAACAGCCAGTTGAAAACGAGAAGACTCCAACTCAAGATTTTCAAGTTTCTCCAGAAGGGATGATTCATGTAGATCAAGTGATGACGCTGATCAGTGGAACCATCAAAGACAAGTTGGAAGGAAGCTCGAAGTCTCCATCAACCTATGTCAAGCCATACACGCAAAGGATTGATAATCTAAGGATGCCAATGGGCTATATACCTCCAAAGTTTCAACAATTTGACGGCAAAGGCAACCCCAAGCAACATGTGGCACACTTCGTCGAGACTTGCAATGATGCCGGGACGTACGGAGATCACCTCGTCAAGCAATTCGTCCGATCGCTCAAAGACAACGCGTTTGATTGGTACATTGATTTGGGGGCAAACTCCATCGATAGTTGGAAGCACTTAGAGGAAGAATTTCTCAACCGCTTTTACAGCACTCGAAGAACAGTCAGCATGATTGAGCTCACCAATTCCCGCCAATGGAAGAATGAACCTGTCATCGACTACATCAAACGTTGGAGAAATTTGAGTCTCAATTGCAAGGATCGACTGTCTGAGACATCGGCTATTGAACTGTGCATCCAAGGAATGCAATGGGGACTCCGATATATCCTTCAAGTAATTCAACCTAAAAGTTTTGAAGAGTTGGCCACTCGAGCACATGATATGGAGTTGAGCATACTTGCAAATCAAATTGAAGAATCACCATTCCAAAAGCCGTACCGGCTCAAAGAAGTGCATCTTGAAGAAGAACAAGAAAATCATGAGGATGGGGGCAAGTCTTTTGAAGAAGCAACACCCTATGCAATATGATAAGTCAAATCAAATGAAACACTCCTTGACACGAGTTTAAAAGGTCTACAAGTCCAAATCAAATGAAACACTCATTGACACGAGTTTAAAAGGTCTACATGTCCAAATCAAGTGAAGCACTCATTGACACGAGTTTAAAAGGTCTACATGTCCAACTCCAGTGAAGCACTCCTTGACACGAGTTTAAAAGGTCTACATGTCCAAATAAAGTGAAGTACTCCTTGACACGAGTTTAAAAGGTCTACATGTCCAAATCAAATTAAACACTCCTTGACACGAGTTTAAAATGTCTACACGTCCAAATCAAATGAAGCACTCCTTGACACGAGTTTAAAAGGTCTACGAGTTCAAATCAAGTCAAGGCTCCTCGATATGAGCATAAACTATCTATATATCCAAATCAAATCAAGGCTCTTTGATACGAGCATAAACTATCTACATATCCAAATCAAGTTAAGGCTCCTCGATACGAGCATAAACTATCTATTTATCCAAATCAAGTCAAGGCTCCTTGATACGAGCATAAACTATCGATATATCCAAGTTAAGTCAAGGCTCCTTGATACGAGCATAAACTATCTACATATCCAAGTCAAATCAAGGCTCCTTGATACGAGCATAAACTATCTACATATTCAAATCAAGTCAAGGCTCCTTGATACGAGCATAAACTATCTACATATCCAAATCAAGTCAAGGCTCCTCGATACGAGCATAAACTATCTATATGTCCAAATCAAGTCAAGCCTCCTTGATACGAGCATAAACTATCTATAAATTCAAGTCAAATGCTCCTTCAGTACGAGCTTAAACTGCAAATGTTTCTCCTTGTCCACATGAGTATAAACTGTGCACGACATCCCTCAAAAGGATATATTTTGAACTACGTTATGACTTGATCCCTTTATAGGGTACGTAGGCAACTTAGAATCTCTCTAAGTTCAGTCATGATTTCAAAATGATTTCAAAAGATATATGTGCTTTGTTAGATCAAGAAGAGAAGAAATAATCATATTGGCCAATAATTAATTGATAATTATCTCCATAATTTATTTTGTAAGATAAATTATAATTTAATTTAGACACAATTTTAATTGGCTAATTTAATTAACCAATTAATTAATTTTATGCGTCTACAACGTCCACAAAACTTTTAAGTATTTATAGAAACAGCCCTAAACATTTCCGACACTTGTCATGGTATTTCAAATTTCGAAACGTGAAAACTTATATGTATAGAAGTTTTCGTGCATCATAGGTTTTCAGTATTCTAAATTTACTAAAAAGTATCTACGTCAACTTAAGAGAAGTTAACTAAAAAGTCCTCGAAATGTATATTTTTGGACTAGGGCAATTAAGAAAAAAAAAAACAATCTCTTGAATAAAGTGCTCACTTTCCCTTCTTTTTTATCTTCATCGTAAAGATATTAAAAAAATTCTTCTCTTTTCAGGCTAAACCCCCTATCAACCGTTTGACTAACTGGAAATTAAATTCGAAAGATAGATTGAATAAATTCTTTTGTGAAATTTTTATCATAAAACTTCAACGGGGTGTGTACATTTTAAGTGCGTTCTTTTGAACTAACTTTTTGTGGCTTGGGGACTAGTTTTAGTACTAAAACAAGAAACATTTAAT